TTATATCTCGAGAGCTATGTGTTGTATTTTTGTTAAAAAGTTGTTGTAAACATATACCTATGTCATATTATTAATACTTTGTTGACAACAAACTTGCTGCACAGCTTGAGGACACATACACAACAATGGATGGGCATCGTTACATTTACATTTTTGCCGTCATGTTACGATGCTTTGAACGGAATTGTAAATCGTCAATTGTCATAATACCGACAACGTACCAGTGTCGCTGACTGTTTGTTCTTGATATTTCGATATCCGATTGTTTATATTCATTTTACTGCATTCAATAACACGTTCTATTTGACGTTAGCAAATGTACAGCAAACATATAACAACACGTGCTGTACATTAATATGCTAAAAATGCTTAATCACACTTTGTTATCTGAATATCGAATCACCGCGCCATATTTAACCGTGGGAATAATGCGGATATGCATCATCATTTCCAAAGCTGAGCGATGAACAAACTGTTTTCTCTTACTACCGAAAATTTCAAACTTCGATTCGTCAGTCCAGAAAACATTAAAAAAATTTTCTACAGTCTAATTTTTGTGTTCTCTAGCCTATTGCGGTCTTTTCTTCTTATTTATAGCTTTTAGTAATAGTTTACAGTAGTACAGTAACTCGTCTAAAAAGACCAGCGTTGATTAATCGCGTCTTCACTGCAGTAAGAAAAATATTTTTTTATTGTGGCTCCTGTTAAAGTCTGTCTGTACCTCGGATGACATGAGTCTCTTATTTATTTTACTTTGTAAAATCGATTGATCTTCAGCTTTCGATGTTACACGAAGTCCACCGCTCCATTTTCTGTCATAATTTGATACTGTTTCGCGATATCAAATTATAGCATCGGAAACTATGGGTCGAGGAATCTTGAGTTTCTCCGAAATATCCCAGACAGGAAGCCTATCTTTGGGTAAATCTTGATGGACCCAACCCCGATGTCCTTGACCTTCACATGAATATGATAGAAGTCACCCTCCTGAATAATCCTCAAAAAGTTTTAGCCGTCGTTAATTGTTTATTAAAAAATTATGAAGAAAGGAAGTTCGAAAAATATGACATTTATTCTTAATCAGTTTCACCCGTTCTACTTGCACATCACGAGAACCGAAATTAGTTTGGGACACTCTGTATGTCACATTTTGACTCGTTAAAGCTTCATAGTATCGAAAAATTACAATATATTTTTCAAACATTTTTCATTAATAACTTTTTAACAAACAATGAACGACGGCTAAAACTCTCTAGAGAACCTTTTCTTTAAGAGAGTAACCTCCTATCACAGATGTGAAAGTCAGGATTATCGAATTCGTTATTGTCAAGGTTTACCAAACATAATTGTATACGAAAAAAACTTTGGTACGAGCTCACGCTGCATTTTTGATTGCAAATACATTTAATCGTAATATCAACTGTTAGACCATAAGAAAGTTCCGCATCGTTTCCAGGGATCGCAAAATACAAAGAAGAATCACAACATGTCACATACGTAACAAAAATACAAACGTTTACAAACGTTTTACATATACACGCCACTCAAGGAAATAAGTGTCCGGGGACTTTTCGATGGCAGTGTATACCTATACTAGGTGTAATTGGTGCATGAGTTAAAACCGATAGATTTTCAGATCAGCAATAGCTAAATTATGTAGTCTATATTAAAAAAAATGGTTATAAAAGACAACAACTTATTCACATTCTGGCCATTATAACAATCATGACCTTTGGACAGTCTTGACGATGGAACTCATTTTCAAATCACTGACAGACTCCTATTGCTGGAAATGTTGAATTAAATGAAGTATCACTGGTTTTGTGGGAGGTTTCCATGGAAGTACACTTTCTGCGTTAAAACAATAAAGAGCTAATTTTGTAAATAAAATTCAGTGATTTTTATACGTTATTGCGTAATGAGTTTTTTCAAAATAAATTTCCAGAGAATACATTTCATACATAAAATTTGAAACAAAAATTTAAAGTATATAATAGTAAGAAAAATTATTAAATTTTCAGTAAGGTAACAGATGTATATATTCTAAAAAAAGCAATGTATTTCTTTTAGGGTGAAACACTTAAATTTAATCAAACCCTGTGATGAAGCTGGGCTATTGGATATATTATTAATTGAAACTTCGCCTCCGTTTATCAATGTTGTAGGATTGGAGCAATAATAGTATGTATACGTGTAAATAAGTTTATTTATATCTCTTGAGTTGTTTAAATTATATTATCGCCATTATATCATTCAAGTAATATATGTATTTTTGATATCATCATTTAAATCGCGATAAGATTATTTTGCCGTAAAGGAATATTTGTTTTTTAAATTATAATTTGTACAAATTGTCATTTTTATTTCATAATTCTTATGTTTTAATATTCTAATTCGACATTAGTTTTATGTTTTATTATCGTAATTAGCGACTTGTAGTGCTGGACATTGAGAAATTCCTTCTATGCTGTGAAAATACTAACAAAGAACGATTCAAATATCGTGAACCGCTATTGTTTAACTACATGTGGCACATCATTACAAGAGTTTAATTTCACGTATCTTTATGTTCATTTTTTTTCATCGGTAGATGGTCAGAGTTGTATAAAAGAAGCAAAGTGAAAGAGTGTTATTAGAGTGATGCACATCAGAATACTGTATTCAACCTTTTCAACTGAAGAATTGTCCAGTCATAATTTGTCGGTGTACAATCGATTTATTTCGAATATCCGAAATCGGGATGTATGTGTTGATAAGGAGCTTCAATAAGGAATTTGTAACATTCGAATCGTCCAATTGCTAAACAATAATGTAAATTAAGACAGAGTTCTTATATCATTAAAAATAGCTGTTGTCCGGCATTGTATAAAGTATAAAATAGTATATATTGTATATCGTTTATTTGTTATTTATAAGACTCGGTAAGGATATAAATGCAAGCTTTTTAACTATTATTGTTGTGCATTGCATAAAACATAGCCAGTATATGAGTTGAAGCATGCAATGAAAGGGATAATGGAACATTTTAGTGAAAACCACGTTAAAAGGAAACATATTATTTTCGTGGCAAATTCGTGAATACGGAACTTGGGTATAAATAAAGATATAAATAAAGAATTTCATGTACAATGCATATTCTGTTACATCCGATATCAAAAGAGGACCAAACGTCTCTTTCCTCTTATCATATGATACAATAAATTCACATTACGTTACGTATATAACATTAAAATTATGTGCATGATAATGGAAGAATTGAGTGGTTTTTCGTTAGCGAACTAAACATCAAAACATAAATCTGCATGTACATTGTAACGAGCATTAAAAAATAATCCATGACAGTTAATTGAAATGAGAGAAAGACTGAAGAGGACCACATTGCTGTAATAATTATGCTTAATTTAATATTGGTATAAATTCAGCTTTTGTTACGATTTTAAGTTTTTTAATGTCAGAAAACTTCTNTATAAGTGTCGGTCCACAATAAGTATTTTAAACCTTAAGCCTTAAGAAATTGACTATTCACAGTTAATTATTCTCTTCACATTCAACTGAGATTGGTTAACACGTTCCGTGCCATGTGGGGCGTATACGACCACCGTTGCACTTTCCGTTCAGGCCATTTGCAATTCTCATTGAAAAACAAAGAATTCTTAAAAAATTTATTGTAGAGTCAAATATAGACAACTTCACATCACGTATACAGCGTTTACGACTTTTTTTAATCTTTAAAGTGTGGGTTGTATACGCCCCACGCGGCCTGAATGGAAAATCTTCAAAAATTGCCGTGGCACGGAACGTGTTAATTTCTTAAGATTTAAGGCTTAAAATACCTATTGTAAACCGACACTAACATGTAAAACGAGACTAAGTATGATTTGCGGCTTCTTCATTGTATCGTTATCGTTTAATAGCGGAGCGTAAATATGATTTATTCGCTACTTCATTATACGATTTTTTTTTAATTTTTTGCAACTAAGATGGCGCATCTTGTGTTGTCTAAGTAACTATTGTTACTCCTGCAACTGTGGCATGATATACGTTAAAATTCCAATGCAAAAAATTGTATATGTAGAAATGCTTTATTTTATTTGTAAATCATATAAATATTAGATTATATAATTTACAATGTAGTTATAAAGGTATATTGTATTTTCTATGCAATTTCGTAATTACATAATTATATGTAATTTCATTATTTAATTTGAAACCTATTTTGCCATTTTTTGCAAAATTTTCTTTTTAAATATTACCATGCTGTCTCCATTTTATATGTAGAGAATTTAATTTTTATCATTGGTTTACGATATGTACGTGTGTACATGCGTGCGTGTGTGTGTGTTATAGCCGAGTAATAGTAAAAACAATAACAACAATTATATTGAGCAGTTCAGCATCTGTGTGGATTTAATGGCATATAGTGAATGAAATAGAGCGTAAATGCTATTCCTTTTATTCAGAACTTAATTCAAAACAACTGCCTATATTGTACATAATGGAAATAATTAAGTAATGCTTTTTACTGTATTAATATATGAATATTTCACGTTAACAATATATGTTCGTATAAAATTTGGTATTAATTTTTTCATGCTTGCAATGAAGAATCAGAATATCAGATTGATTCATTATCAATTCAGATGTGGAGGTAAAATGTGGTGACAACGTAATTTTATGTTATCGTGAATATATTCAATTCCCTGATCTCAAAGCAGATAAAAATTGTACTGCATATTTATATATTGCATCAGATGTTGCCATAGTTGTTTTTCTCGACATTTTGTAAGTTACACGCGCCTTACATTTGCATAGTATTGGTTTAAAATATATATAATTGAAAACAATTTTCTCTATAAAAATCCTTGGAAATTCTGTCTATGTGTGTGTCTGTGTGTGTGTACGTGTGCGCGCGTGTTGTGTGTGTGGAGGAGAATATTTTGCTGGTATAGCAAATTTATTAATTACTATAGGGACAACAAAAAAATTTGTCAAACGATTTATTAAAAATATTAATTGCTACTTGCTGAATATATAGACAGCAAAATAATTTTGTTAACCAGCCAACTAAATTTTATCTATGTCACAATGGTTTTGCTACAATAGCAAAATTATTTTTTCTGTGTAACAAATCTTTTTGTTGTCCCTATAGTAACTAACAATTTGATGTACCACCAAAACTATATATATATATATATATAGTTTGTCATGTTCCTAATATTACATTTCGGATTTATATAAATCGCTGTGATTATGCTAGGTTTATATATAAGCTTAACGTTTAAGATGCAGCTTTGGGATCAATATAATCACAATTGGAAGATATCACGACATATATGCTGTATATACATAAATTTATCATAAAAAACCATGCACCCCATCGTTACAATACGTAATATACAAGACGAACTAGAACGTATTGATTTAACCGATTATCACCATCGGTATTCTTTTTTTTTACACAAAATACATATAGCGGATATAAAATGTAAGAGTTTAATGTTATATATAATTATAAGTAGTCAAAGTATATAGGATGTTAAACATGTAGTGTGTATATTGTTACGTTATATTCGTAATTTTATCCATACGACGATTTAATTTGATTACGTTATATTATATCTTTGCTTAGTTTCTCTAAATGAGATATCCGCGAATAAAAATTTAATTTCGTTCTACATTACGTAATACGAAAGAATACCTTATATTATATATTGATAATTTTAGCTCGTGGTGCTTTGTAATATACGTATTTAACACGATATTAGAAAATTCATTCACACAATTGACCACCGAATTAGCGAGGGCCCTACATGCTTAACAAAATATCGAACAACATGTAAAATTTTAGAGTAAGGAAAATGAATATCAAAGAATAGCGGCATTTCAATTCAAAGCTTTCCGAAAGGATCATCGAACAACGACGAACGTATTATGTACTTTATATTGTGGAGCCATCATATAATTTTCCGTTTTTCTACCTGAAAGAGCCGTTTGCAATTTTATACGTATTTATATTCACGGACCTCCACATCGTGTGCGTACGTGCGTGCGTGCGTGCGTGCGCGTGTGTGTGTACATGCGTACGTGCGTTTGCACGGTTAGATTTGCAGCGTCCAGCAAAAACGTTATTGAAAATGGTTTGTCTTACTTAGGGGCCCTTCTTTTCACCTCGTTGTAGATAAAATACAAAGACGAGGATTATTAAATAAATTATATCATCGATGCCTTGCATAGGTAGTTAATTGTCAAATTGAAGAAATAAATATTCGTTGTCAATTGTAGAACTGGGATAGGCAAAAGCCAACAGCAGTTATTGTAAAGATTGTTAACAATACGTACATTCATTGTGCACATATAGACAGTTGCATTCAACTTGGTTAAGGTAATAAAAGAAGTATTTCATAAGAAGAAAACAAAACTGAACATATTATATTGATGTCCACTTTTCGATACGCCGATATATACATATACACACACTCACACACACATACACACACACACACACACACACATCCACACAATATATTATACATATATATATATATTTTTTTTTTCTACACGTGCATCGTGTCAACGATGCGTTATTGCTGCTGGTATAGAGCCGAGTAGTTACATCGAAACGATTCAAATGATTCGTATTATTATTTCGTACTGTCAAAATAAAAACGAGTTTTTAGTAAAATCTGTTTCATTCATTCGACCGCACTGATCAGCGCATAGCAATGTCGAGTACGAATCAGAGGGAATCCAAGGACTGAAGAACAGCGGTATATCGGTGTGTAAGGCTTTTTATATTCTTTTCCAAGAATTTCTGTTGATAATAACATTACAGTTCGTCAAAATTTTACAAATAATCAATTATTTTATCACAATTTCTACTTTGTATAGTGTGAGAAGTTCGTTCTTATTCGCGATGATCAATTTCGGAGAGACGCATAGAAATGCAGCATAGAAATACAGTATTTAAGGATGATTATATTGTACTTTCTTGGATTTTCGTTAAAATTCTAAAAAAGTATTTATGATTGCGGAAACATCACCACTAATCGTATGTTTTCATAAGAACGCGCATCAGCCTTCAATTCATTTAAATAATATTTCGTCACTATGTTTAAGAAAATATTTCTTTTATGACGATTAAGCTTAACAATTATAAATTATACGTTAGTATTCTTCTTTCATGATAAAAGATTCTGACGTATATAAAGAGTGTAGCGATCTCATAAATTTTATATAGTACAAAAAACGTCTGCGCATGTATATGATTATAAGTAAAATTAATTAACTTTTGTACAATATGCGAATTCAAATCGTTCAGATACATTCCCTTATAATTTTAATTTAGAACTTTATTGTTCATAATACAGAATCATAAAATCAAGTGTTACTACATAAATTATGTTTTATATTAGTTCATATTATTAATACGTTTCAAATATTTGAAGTTGTTTGTTCGATAATGAGTACTACTAAATTTGTATTCTATAAAACGCAGTTATTCCTTCGTTATTCAAAGAGGATCGGTTTCATTAAAATCCTTTTGTTTTGTGCAAGGAAAAAATTGATATTAAAATCATTTTAATTTATTAACATTTCGGGAAGGTAAAGTCTGATTTAGAACAAAAGATATGTCACTATTACAAAAGATATGTCACTGTTAAATGTGATAATTTTGCAATCTCTTAAGTTACAAACATTTTTACATAGTGTTTTCATTCGCTCACAATGCCGATCTAAAAAGAATCAAATATTCAATCAGAATTCAATGCAAAAGAATAGATACAAAAGATATATATTTACAGGCATACATTGTTGAAACATACTGTACGGTATATCGTTAAAAAAAAGAAAGAATTACGCAACATTCGTTCAATTTTGCCAGAGAATTACAAGACGATTCTTTCGTCGTTTACGTAAAACACGAAATTCGTGCAACATGAATATCTCTCTCTCTCTCTTTCTGATCTGATTATAATTTACGTACACATAATATATTGTGATCTGGCGTAATTTTCAATCGTATATTCTTATATACCACAAGAATTATCCCTTGTAAAAATATCTTTATATAAAGTTTCTGAATGTACATAATTGTAGAATACGCTATAGTGACGAAAAAGCAGTTCATTATCTAAGAAATGCGGATGAAATTTCCTTAGCATCCGGATTTCCGATTCGTTCTCCCTGGACGAAACGTGTGACAGATTCTACACGTTCACGTCTCGCGGCTTCAATCCGCAGTGATCTGCACCCCCTCGTACGAATCCCTGACTACAATATCAGAGGTGAGGACGGCCTTCACATCGGCAGCGTCCTCGTTCGGCGTGTCCTTCTGGTTAGCTGCCGTCGTCGTAAGATGATGCTTTTTCCGGTGGCACATCATGGTCGACCTAGATACGAAGGCCTTGTCGCATGCGTCACACTCGTACGGCCGTTCGCCGGTGTGAAGACGCTTGTGTATCGCCATAGGGCTGAACTGCGTGAATGTTTTGCCACATACGTCGCATCTGTAGGGCCGCTCGCCGGTGTGCGACCTGCGATGGCAACGCAGAGCGGCGCGCCGGGCGAATACCTTGCCGCACATCTCACACTTGAAGCTCTTTTCGCCGGTGTGCATGGTCGAGTGTATTTTGAGGTCGACCCGCGTCAAAAATCCCTTGCCGCACACCTCGCACAGATACGGTTTCTCGCCGGTGTGTATACGCAGATGCGTGTTCAGGTAACTCTTGCTGACAAACATCTTGTTGCATACCACGCACGGATACTGACGATTGTCCATGCCGGAGTGTATCTTTTGATGGCTCTTGCAGAGGCCTTTCGTGATGAAACCGCGGCCACAGATCTCGCACATGTACGGCTTCACGCCCAGATGACGATTTTGATGGTCCAACAGCGACTGCTTCGTCTTGAAGTTCTGGCCGCACGTGCCGCATGGATACGGCTTCAGATCCGAGTGTACCCTTTGGTGCACGATCAGATAGCTCTTGCACTGAAAGCCTTTACCGCAGGTAGAGCAGTTGTAATCGAATTGACCCGTGTGCGTGGCCGTGTGCTGCGCGAGACCGATCTTGCTGCGGAACGCCTTCTCGCAGGTCATGCACTGAAACGGCTTCTCACCGGTGTGCTTGCGCATGTGCTCTTGCAGTTTATAATTCGTCCGGTATTGCTTGCCGCATTGCGCGCACACCTTCGGCGTCCATTTCTGCCTCACCGTCGACTGCTGCTTCTTATGCTGCTCGGCCTGATTGTCATTCTTCTCTGCCGGCTTCTCTCTTACGTCCAATTGCGCATCGTTCTTCTCCTTATCAGTTATTTTGTCCTTATATATATCACACTGCTCTTTGTGCAAATTTAACACCTGGACGCTGGTAAAATATAGGCCACAGGTGCAACAGCAAAAGTGTTGCTCGAAATGCGCGGCCAAATTGGCCGTTTCCAGAGCCGCCTCGTTGCAAAACGGACATACGTACCAGTGTGAGCCGGTCTCGTCCACGGTAGGATTATCAAGTGTGGACTTCAACAACGCGTCTTTCGTTCTCTTGGTGTACTTCACCATTATCTCGCACGACACGTTATTCATCTGACTCGTGGATGGCAGAGCATTCACAGAACTCACATGTTTGTGTTCTTGTTTTATACAGGAATCCTCCATCTCATCCTTCTCTTCCTGAGAGGGGGCGAAATTGTCTGCCGGTAACTGAATTACAAAAGTGACATTACATAAGTGATTCAGTCTATTTTTGTATGTGCGCATGTGTCATATCCATTTCTTTCGTTCTCCACACACACAAACATTCCTGATTGCAGTAGACTTTCTTTTAATTCAATATATCGTTGTACAAAAAGTGGACTTACGTTGCTTTCAAGTTGTATATGTGGCTCCTCTGTGGCTAATCTCTCTTGCAATCTATGGTATTGCTCTTTCATTGGCACTGTCTCGTATTTTACATTTTCGCAATAATGTACTATCTGTTCCTGGCTCTGATCCTCTGGACTGATAGAAGTAACATAATTTATCCCTAACTGACTTAAATGGCCACTCACTGTCAAGTTACCCACTACAGTCATGTCACCTTCCAAATGCATTGCGATTTGATGATTTGAAACCTAAAGAATAAGCTATAATTGAACTAAAATTCACAAAATATACCAATTATACAAATGTATATAAAATATAGTTATATATATATATATATATATATATAT